ACAATTTTCATAAATCTTGATGGATATTTATACCAACTAACCTTGACTTATAGGCACTCATACCCGTATTGTTTGTTGAATCGAAGTTTGTGATTTGATTGTTGACATCAAGTCAAGAAAAAATTAGTCGAACTTAAATTTTTTTTTTTTTTTATACCCAGGTATCTCAGCTTAGCCAGACTAATTCCTGGACCTCTAGCCACCGGCCCCGTAGCGACTCGATGAGGTAAACCGCGGCTTATGCCCTTGTTGGCTCCCAGGTTCCTGCACCGCTTTATACTCCTGACCCCAAGAGAGCTCTCCTCACTGCCTTTCAGTCATTGTCTTGCATTCGAGAAAAATCTCCCTTCCAAAACTCGTGCCTTTCAGGAATCGAACTCTCCACCCTGGGGTTGCGAGTCCACCAATGCAATTGTTCCACCAATTGTTCCAGTCGAACTTAAATTTTGATTTGAAGGATGAAGGGTAATCATTCAATATTTTTTTAGTTATTTTCGATCCAAGTCTAATCACTCGAGAACAAATGTTGTGTTATTCTTACAATATTATACATTTTATCTCAAGCTCAAAAAAAAGAAAAAAAATATATCGAAAGAAATTACAATATAAAGAGAGAATCTAAATCAAACATTAGATGATCAAGTTCTGATACATTGATCGATGGCGTGGTATCGCATGCCGAACTACACGACAAAACACCAACAATGAACATCTGATCCACAATCTTATTTGGATGTATTGTTCTTTTTATACAATTGTTATAGCAAGCGAGCAATTGTATACTCCCTCCATCCCATAAAAATACGCTTGTTTTTCTTTTTTGTTTATCTCAAATTATAAATCATTTTTCTTGTTAAGAATATAGTTGATTTTTTAGTTTTTTAATATATTCATATTTAATGTGTCTTGTTATCGATAAATATAAATTAATCATAATTAAATAATTATTTAATATAGGGATATACGAAGAAAAAATTAAAGAAAAATTTAGGGGTTGTTCTCTTCGTGTTTCAATTTTGTGTTTTTAGTTTTGAATTCATTTTGGGTTTTGAATTTTGAGTGTCCATTTTGAAAT